ACCAATACCAATATAAACCAATACCAATATAAACCAATACCAATAGCAATACAAGAAATAGAAAATATTGTTTAAACCAATACCAATATTTTAGACCCAATACCAATACAATATTTTGTTTATATTGGGTTTTTAATATTGGTTCCCAGCCCTACACAGTATATGACATAAATTTGTGATAAAAAATATAAATAGGTTTATATAGAAACTCCTTTTCTTCAATTACTATATCTTCCTCGAAAAAACTTGTATTTTGGTTTTTGCTATAAGTATTACTGATTTTAAATTTTTGGATAACTAGGGTAACAAATGTAATTTAAATAAATGTGGAATTAAATGTCATAATTCAATATTTGACTAAAAATTATGAATTGTAATTTATAAAATATTTTTTATTTTTTAGTACTTAAAATACAAATATTCTTTTAAACTGGTCTGCAATGTCTGGCCCATTAAATTGGTAAAATTTTGCATATATATTTGATGAATTGGTATTTCATAGAAGTCTTAATACATAATTTATTGTGTTTTTAATTTAAAGATTATAAATAGTTGTTTATTTTGCTGTTCAACAACATTATTTTAGTCTAGATCTTATGTATAAAAAAATTAAAACTTGTTTATAAGCGAAAAATTGAATCCAGCCCAGGAAAAAAGTTTCCAGGCTATGCGAAAACTAAATTTCAAGCAAGTAGGATCAAGCCTGAGAATTATATTATTTGCAGATCATTGTCTTAAATAAAAGTATTCACATTACTTTCCAACCCTGGGAACAGGTCTAGTCATAATTGTTTGAAGTGGCTATGGCTAGTAGTCATGGTAATTTATTATGACTATAGGGTCATTCCACGTCAAATCGACCAAAAAAACGTAATTTTCGGACGACCATCTTTAAAATAAACGAAACTTGGCATGATAGTTATTTATTTTGTATATTTTTGTAAATTCTAAATTTTAGAGTGCTAGCTCAACCAAATCCAAAGATATACGCCTTCAAAGTAGAGAATCGCATAATGCGTGATCTTAAATCTTGTTTTTCTTAAAAAATACTTAAGATAAAATTACAAATAATATATCATTTTATAGCCCTTAAAATTTTACATTGGAAAATATTAAAAAAAATTATAAGTGTTTTTGTATTTCCGGTAAAAATAAAAAATTAACATTCCTGGGAAGGGATATTTTTTTGGTGTTGATACTCTCTAAAAATGTTTATTACCTTTATATTAAACTATTTAATGAAAAATCTCGATACCCATTTTTGTTTTTTTAATTTTATTAAAATTTTTATTATTTTTATAAATAAAAAAGGATAATATAGATAGCGTTATATTAATTTTAATAATAATATATTTAATTTAATAAAAATATGTTTTATATCGGTATTAAAATCAAAAAAAATCGATTAAATATAACCAGTATGATGTCTTGGGGCAATAAATAAGGAAGCGGCCCATACGGATATGGTTATTAGGACGCTATATTTTAAAATAAACATTTAAAATTTCATATACAAACAATTTGTTTTAATCTTATCCCATTTTGCACTTATTAATAGAATTTCCTGAAGCGATAATTTATAGGTACGTCCTGTCACTGTTATAGGATCTACTATCGTTATTATTTAATTCATGGGCAACCATATCTTTTCCTCAATTGCGGGATAAAAGAAGGATGGTGATGGTCCATGGGGATGTAAAAAGGAAATATATATCTCCTCAGTATTTTCATTCTTTTTCAGTACTGTGGCTAACCACCAAAAATCGTCATAAACACATGTTACGAATCCTTTAATATCAGCAAAACACAAATTATCGGCAAAAGACAAATCGGCATTAAAGATATTATTAATTTGAAAGTCCTTTGCATATGAATATATTTTTGATTTAAGTTTACTTAAACTCAAAGGAAAAACAGCATGTATTTCCTGAGTTCCTGGAATGGGACGAGCTAAATTGAATCTTTCTCGTAGTTTAATCTCTTCTAAATTGTATTGTTTGTTGGTTATATACGTAAAATTTACTGATGGCATATTTTGTTTTGCAAACTGATATAAATCAACTGGTGTTAAAATGTGTCCAGAACTGGTGCGCTGAAGGCTTGAAAGTGCTGAGAATCTTTTAAATGTTCGGCCAAGGCCGTCACATGGACCTTTTGCATGAGATGTAGCTGAAAAATGCCATTCAGCTGCTACACCAAAATCTGATTCATGATAACACAGATTTATGAAATTTTTTCTGTTTTTATATTGAGCAGCCGATCCGTCAGAGCAGTAATAGATTTTACATGGCTTTTTGTTAAAATGATTGGTCAAAAATTTTATCATTTCAGTCTGGTATAAATGTACTGCAATAACATCATGTTGAAGTGACTCTGATATTACCACATAATTAAGGTTTTCTATATTGTTATTATTATTATTATAATATGCTATCATAGGATGGATAGTGGCCTGATTATTATTCCAGTGAAATCCTTGAACAGCGTCTTGGATTACAAAGGCATAATTTTCAGAGAAATCACAAATTATCATAAATTCATTTTGTTGTAAAAAATGTTTAAGTTTTGAAATATATGATTTGATGACTGATTGGTAGCGATAAAGGAATAACGTAACATAGGTGGAATTTTTTCTAAAAAAAAAATTACAAAATTCTTGAGAAGATTTTGTTATTGTTTCCAGATTACTTCTATCAACAGACACCCACTGTTTAAAGGATATATGATCTATGTCATTTTGGGCAAATACAACATCTAATTGTTTTTTAATTGAGAATGTGCCTGGACAATAGTTACAATCTCCTAAATAACAAATAGGGAGTGCTGGATTGCATATTGTTTGAGCTAAAATATTTTTATAGTTATGTAATGGATATTCTGGCATAGCTAATTGTTTTGCCAAATTAGCATCTACTAACATAAGCTTAAAATTTTGATGAATTACACAAACACACACTGTGTGTCCACTGGCTCCAGCCAGAATACAACTTTTTGGCCGTAAATCTGCAAATTAGAAAATCCAACTTTAATTATCGGGTACCTCTCTTTAAATCGTTCATATAATTCTTTTAAATTGTTTAAAATTAATCTTTTTTGAGACTGCTCTCTTTTCCCCTTGATCATTATGGATTTATAGTCTTTTTTCCCGGGCGTCGCACGACTGACTTCATCAGAAGAGTAAAATTTTCTATAATATTCACGGTCTGATCAATTGTTCGCCCAGGTTTTATATTGGGAGATGACATAAATCCTTTTAATTTTATTAGTTTTTTTGATTTTCTTACCAAGTAATTCGTGGCTTTGAACTCCATCTCAATTTTTTTAGAGGTCCAAGAAGGGGGCAATATAGTAAGAAGTTGATATTTTTTTTCCTTAGAAATAATTGGATAATGATGTTTTATAATTTGAAGAAGTTCGTCATTTTTATTATTTTGTATATCAAACTCAGGAAGGCTGCTTCTTAATATGTTTTGGCTTAATGCTTTTGTTATTTTTTAAGTTTTTCTTGCGGATATTTCTTTTCTCCTATTCTTTTCTTTTTTATTGGAGATTGGCCTATTTCTTCTAGCGATACATTTATTATATCCAAAGTTGAACTGGATGGGGCTAGTTCGGGCTCTTCATTTTCAGATATATCCTCAATGGATTCCATATTTATCAAATATAAGCGACATGGTGACATAATGATTGGCCTATTGTTAATAAACCTTTGGATTTTTTAATCATCTTTAGTGTAACCTAATTTTATATATAATAAAAATAATCACGATATCCAATAATAAAAAAGATATTATATTAGTAAAAAATCCAGAATCTAAAATTAAAAAGGTTTTAATCCATAATATAAACTTACCTTTTGTAGATTTTTTGAAATAGACTTATGGCCTTCTCTGATTTCATTTAAATTTTAAAAAAAATTTTAAGTAAAAAAAGAAATATTTTTTTAATCCTTATGTTCTTTTCAATCATGATTGATAATTAAATTTCCTATTTATCGATATAAAAATTTAATAGAAAGAAAGGAATGAAAAATAAAATAAGATGATAAAATCTTTAATTTCAAATAATAACGATAGTGGATCCAAAAGTGTGAAATATATACAAATTACGGCCTCAAGAATTTCTATTCATGCGCAAAATGGATTGCGATAAATAGATATATTTTTATAATAGCTTGAATATAATTTTAAAGTATCTTTATATGGGCCGCTTCCTCATTTATTGCCCCAGGACATCATACTGGTTATACTTAATCGATTTCTTTTGATTTTAATACCGATATAAAATATATTATTATAAAATATATTATTATTAAATATAATATATTATAAATTTATTTAGTATAACGCCATCTATATTATCCTTTTTTATTTACAAAAATAATAAAAATTTTAATAAAATTAAAAAAACAAAAATGGCTATCGAGATTTTTCATTAAATAGTTTAATATAAAGGTAATAAACATTTTTAGAGAGTATCAACACCAAAAAAAAATCCCTTCCCAGGAATGTTAATTTTTTATTTTTACCGGAAATACAAAAACACTTAAAATTTTTTTACTTTTTTTCAATATTTTCCAATGTAAAATTTTAAGGGCTATAAAGTGATATATTATTTGTAATTCTATCTTAAGTATTTTTTAAGAAAACAAGATATAAGAAATCACGCATTACGCGATTCTCTACTTTGAAGGCGTATATCTTTGGATCTGGTTGAGCTGGGGCTCTAAAATTTGGATTTTATTAACTACAACATAAATAACTAACATGCCAAGTTTCATTAATTTTTGAGATGGTCGGCCAAATCACTGGACGATTTGTCATGGGATTACCCTATAGCTATTTAGCTATACCCATTTTTCTTGTTAATAGCCAGTTAAACTTAGTTGTTTCCACATAATTTGTAGGCCATTTATATTTATTTTTATTTTACCTAGATTTATAAAAACTATCAAAAAATATTATTATAAAATTTTTTATTTTAAGTCCCATAAACTTATAATAATTCCCCTAATTTATAGCTTTGAAAACATCAGATTATTAAAAAATTAATATGTTCAATCTATAAAATAATTTCCTATTTGGATATTCTTCATATAATGTAATTGATCATCTAATTATTTGTCTTATATCCTTCATTATTTTGTTTTGAAGTAAGAATTTCTCTGTGATTTAAGTATACATTCAAAAATAAAATGTTTATAAATAACAAAAATATATGAATTTATATCAATTAAATAATCATGCCTCATCATCTATACCAATTCCTTCCATAATTATTCCCATTGGGGATTTCTTTAAACCAATATTTTCCATTGTATTAGCTAATTTATTTTTTATATTACGCATCCTCATGGAGGAATGCATAATAATCACTTAATATAACTTATTTATACAAATAAATAATATATAAATCTTACATGATACTGGAAGAGTTATTCCCATTGTAAATACTGCAACTGCCTTTATTAAGTATATTATAAGGTAACTAATACTAATTATTGAACAGAAACATATAAGTGGGTGATTTTGTTTAAATTGCATTGCCTGGTATTTATTTTTTGTACAATATATAAAAACAATAACCAAACTGGAGGCAGTAATTAAACCCATAAGCATCTTAGTCGGCGCAAAAGATCTATATAAAAAGCACTTAACAAACATATATTGAAAATTTACCCAACTAATAGAAAAAAAAACATAATTGTAACAAAATAATTTGTCTGATAATATAATAAGTTATTAAGAATGCGTTTATTTAATTTTTCATAATCTTTTCCATTGGGCAACTGAAATCTTGACAATTCAAATAAAAAATCGTTTAAAGGGCGTATTGGAGGAATTCTAGCGTCGAAAGACATAAACTATATAGAGAATTATCGTACAAGCTAAAAAAAGGATTTTACTCGTAAAACGCTTCATCGTAAATGTTTCGTCTAATTATGTGATTGGTCTGTAATGGGGGAAAATTTATAGTTAAATTTTTTTTCAAATAATCATAATTATGAAAATTCAAACATTAATATTTTTCATGACAGAAGAATTAATTCTAATATAATTTAAATTAAGTAATTAATTTTAACTGATATAATTTATTTTATTTTAATTTTCTTTTTTTAAATTTTGTATTCATTTATTTCGATTTAAAAACGACTATAAATTACAATAAAAGATATAAGTTTTATAAAAATAAAATAATTTAATAAAAAAAGTGAATGAATATGAGTAGATGCATCTAGGTTATGGCACCGTGGATGATATGTTAAGAGACCTACTAATTTACATTGAAATCGTTGGCGTAGGTAAAACCTTAGTGAGGATCACCCATAATTAAGCTTTATTGGGAGAGTGACTTAAAAATCTTTCTAGGGTTTAAAAGCATCGATTGTGTCAGAAACAATGGGGGTTAGGGTAATATTAGGAATGCTAATGCATTTATTAATTTCTCTAATTTCCGTTCTAAGGTAGTAAAGCTAAAGAATGGTGCAAAACGATCAACACATGTATAATCCCAGGCTAACAGGATTCCCCCAGCTCCATGGAATAAGTGTCATTCCGTCAAGCCTGATATTGTCCCAGAGATTAAGACCTACAGGTTCAAAAGTTGATTAGCTGAATGGAGAATTTTAGCATAGATTAAATTTATTGCTTAGTGACGTAGGTGGCGGCCTTTAGAAATGGCATTGAAAAGAGTGATGACCTAGACTGTCGACAGGGAGTTGACATAATTTGATGAGGGTGTGTCGATATCACAGCCTAAGCAAAGACCTATTCCCAAGGTTGAAGCTAGGGATAGCTTCAGGCTATTCACAATTTGTGTTGAAATGTTGGATTGACGACATGAAATTACTATTTTGATTCATTGGGCGGAAGGAATCGATTTAGTGGGGAAAAGATATCAGGGTTAAAGATCGAGGAAATACCCTGGCAGCGTTTGAGTAAAGGAATTCCACGAAATGCTGGATTAAAAGTAATCCCAATCTTGTTGTCTGGAAGATAAAGGCAAGGGAACAATTGTGGCGTTTGACTTCCATAAGTCTAGTGCTAACCCCAGATGGGGATGTATTAGTGGTAAAAATGTTAATAATTTTTGACTTTTGGTGTGAGATGAGAGAAAATCTGCAAGCATGTGATTGAAAGCTTATACCCCCAAATTTGCACGGGAGAGCAACTTGCATTTAGCAATTGGGAGAGAAATTTTCGGAATATAAAGGAAATTCTTAAGGAGAAAGAATGAATCAAATTTAATCAAGAAGTCTTAAGTAAATTTGGATATTGCTGCTTTGTCTCCAATAGGTGAGCCTAGATTAGTAAATCTTGATTTGTAGACTATATAAAAGTTATCAGGAAAGGGATAAAAATTATTGGACATATAAAATTCACATTTTTTATGATTAAAGCAAAGCCCTATAATAGGAGCGAGATCAAAAATGATAGGTGGAATTATAATTAATTCATCGTAAGGTCCTGCAACTCTATCATCATCTAAATACCATATGTTTAAAATGACATTGCATTTGTTGTTGATGTGTCTATGATGGTGCGAATAGGCTCACAGATAGCTGGACCTGGTCCCCTGACTGATTGGTGGAGCAGATTGAGTGTGGTTGAAGCAGCCTCCTGCAGGAATACTAAATCCTAAATGATGAGGAAGTATAAATTTGAAAGTTTTGTTTTTAGTCGCCAAATGATTTTGGATATGATTCTTCGAAAGATAGACCGAATAGCAATGTGGCACCTTCATCCTTTTTAGATAGCACAATAAGACGAGCACCAAAAATTAAGGGTAGAATGAATGCATGGTTAAAAAAGGTTATTAAAAGTATTATTAAGAAGGAAGGTTAAAGCTGATATTAGGCTGTGGTGGCATAGGATAGCTTCGTTAGATTTTAAGTCTAACTATCCAGCTGAGTTATTTTTGAAATAGCCTTAATAATTTGTAAGCTTGAAAGTGGGTCTGGGAATATGATGATGCCAGCTGTAAATTCAATGAAGATGTTCATTGTAAAATTGGCAATTTTCATAATCAATATTTTTAAACATATTAGGTTTTTTTTGGACGGTAATGAACAAAAATATGTATTTTTAACAGTTAAATTAAAATTCCAATTGAGATGTAACATATAAAAGTGACAATTGTCATAATCGTTATTTTTAAAGTTTTAAAATTTTTTTTGATGTAAATGGGTTTAAATAAGTACTCCTAACATGTTTAAATAAAATATTAGTGAAGGTGTACCCTATATTAGTGACAATTGTCATAATCGTTATTTTTGAAGTTTATCGAATTTTTTTGACGCAAATGGATATAAATATAGTTTGTAAATTGTCACTTTCCTACATCTTCATGAAATTTAATTTGACATTTTTACAATATATTTTAACCCATTTGAGTCAAAAAAATTTAAAAAACCTTAAAAATAACGATTATGACAATTGCTTCTTATCTATACATCTTCACTGAATTTTAACATGTACGCAATCTATATTTTTGACCATTTGCGTCAAAAAAATTTAAAAAACTTAGTATAACGATTATGACAATTGTTACTTTTCCATGGTATATCTTCATGAAATTTTAATTTAATATGTTTACAATTTATATTTTTTCGTCAAAAAAATTCACAAAAACTATAAAAACGACAATTATGACAATTGTCACTTTCTATGCTACATCTTCGTGAAATTTTAATTTAACATATTTACAATATATATTTTTACACATTTGCGTTAAAAAAATATAAAAAACTTTAAAAATAACGATTATGACCAATGTCACTTACCTATAGTATATTTTCATGATAATAATTTAACATATTTACAATATATATTTTTACCCATTTGCGTTAATTTTCCCATTTGCCTTAAAAAAATTCAAAAAACTTTAAAAATAATGATTATAACAATTGTCACTTATCTATAGTACATCTTCACTGAAATTTTAATGTAACATGTTTACAACCTATATTTTTACCCATTTGCGTCAAAAAATTAAATTAACTTCAAATATAACGATTATGATTTTTGTCACTTATCTAGGGTACATCTTCATTGAAGTTTCATTTAAACATGTTAGCAATACTTATTATAGTACATTTACATCAAAAAAATTTATAAACATTAAAAATAACCCATTTGTGTCAAAAAAATTCAATAAACTTCAAGAATAATGATTATGACAATTGTCACTTGGTGCATCTTCACTGAAGTTTTATTTAACCATGTTAACACTTTAGCCCATTTACATCAAAAAAATTATAAAAACTTTAAAAATAACGATTATGAGAATTGTCCCTTTTATATGTTACACCTTAATTAAAATTTTAATTTAACATGTTAACTATAGATATTTTTGTAGCGTCAAAAAAAATCTAATATGTTTAAAAATATCGATTTTGATAAGCTAATTTTCCAAGGAACATCTTCATTGAATTTATAATTTAATACTTTTACAATATAAATATTATTTTACCCTTTTGTGTCAAAAAGTTTCAAAAATGTTTAAAAATAACGAATATGACAATTGTTACTGTTGTAGTTTTGTATTATTATGATATATTTTTTTTTCTCTTTAGCTTTCACCTTTTCTGGTGGTAAGCTCCTTCAACATCTCTCTCCACTTTATGTTATTCATACAATCTCTTTTATCTATTTTATACTTCTTTATATTGGCTCTAACTTTATGGCCCCATTGAAGTTTTGGCCTTCCTCTTTTACGTTTGCCCATCACTTCCAAACTTTCAACTTTATTTCCTATGTAGTTCATAGGCCTTCTCATTGTGTGCCCATACCACCTAAGTCTGTTTACCATTAACTTAGTCTTAATGGGCACTACCTTTAAACTATTTAGTATTCTTGTACTGCGCACCTTATCCTTTCTTGTTACCCCAGCAATCATCCTCAGCATTCTCATCTCCATAGTTTGTAGACTTCTCTCGTCTGATTCTTTGGTTGGCCATGTTTCCGAACTATATAGAATAGTTGGTTGTACTATGGAACTGTAGATTTTTCCCTTTAATTTGTGTGGGATTCTTTTGTCAAATAGCACTCCAGATAAAGATATCCACTTTAACCACCCTTGATTAATCTTATTCTTTATCTCTTTTTCTATTGTGCCGTTTGTTCGTATAGTGGAGCCCAAATATTTACAGCTTTTAATTGCGGATATCTGCCAATCATTTATACCAATACTCTCCGTTTCATCTCCTCCTATCACCATATACTCCGTCTTTTCTCTATTTACTTTTAATCCGTGCGTTTCTAGGATATTTATCCAATTCACTAACCTTTCTTTTATTTCATCCTTGGATTCGGCAAGTATCACAATATCATCTGCAAATATCATATTCCACGGGACTGTTTGAGGTATAGACTGTGCTAATACATCTATTACTGTAATGAAGAGAAGTGGGCTGAGAGCCGACCCTTGATAAACTCCTTCGGCTATTGTGAAGCCTGCTGAAGTACCTGTTGTGCTACGGACCATTGTTGTATGTCCCATATACATATCCTGTATTATTCTTATATATTTTTCGGGAACTTTTTTGTGGCGTAGCACCCACCAGATAAGTTTTCGTGGGATTCTATCGAAGGCCTTTTCTAGATCGAGAAAGACCATGTGTAGCTTTTTGTTCTTTTCTCTGTATTTTTCACTCATTTGCCTAATTGCATGGATAGCATCGGTTGTTGATCTTCCAGGCATAAAGCCAAACTGTGTCTCTCCTATTTCGATTATATCTCTTAATCTTTTTTCTATTATTTTTTCGTATAGTTTTAGACAGTGTGACATTAGTTTTATGCCCCTGTAATTTTGACAATTGTGTGGATTTCCTTTATTTTTGAAGATAGGAACTAGATAGCTCTTCCTCCATTTTTGGGGAACCTCTTCATTTCCAAGTATTTTATTGTACAGATTTGTATTCCATCATCTCCTAG